CTCCCTAGCTCTGCCTTGGAGCATCCCAAGTCCCGCTTCCCAGGTCCTGAAAATCCTCGGCCTCTTCACTTAGAGGCAGGGCAGATACAGGGCAGGGCAGCCATGCACATTTGAAAATCCTCGGCCTCTTCACTTAGAGCCTTATACAGGGCAGGGCAGCCATGCACATCTGCACAGCAGAAAGGACGTCCTTCACAGCACGGTCCTCCTTCACTTCCCGTGGCCACTCCTGCCTCCGTTAGCTTTCTCCAGCCAGGGTAGATCAAGACTGGTCCTGTCAGGCACTGCTGAAGTGCCTGCATGAATAGCAGCAGACACATTAATTTGCTGGCTGGTGACGGCTCCAGCAGAGCCATTATGGCTTATGGCACCAATGAACTGTGAAGCGAGGGGATGGGAGCACTGCCGTGGCACTACACAGTAGAGCAGCAACTGTAACCACACAGGACAACTCCGTGACACACATCAGGTACTTTGTCCTCTTACTTCTGTTGAGCCAGCCCTTGCATACTCAGCAGACGAGGTATATCTATTGGCAGGGAGACTTTTGCCTGAGGCTCCTAGAGGAGGAAAATACAATTTCAAAGCTAGAAAAATGTGAGAACAGAACACATGTGGGGTTTGCTGGGTTCTTCCTGGTGTGGTTTCCAAGGTGGTGGCCACCACTTAATGTCTCAAGGACATTGGAAACTGAGCTGTTACAATGTAGAACAAATCTTGCCGAGCACTCCTGTGCTCTTCCTTTCCACTTGACTCGCTCCGAGGGACGTACCCTCTGGCACTGTCAACAAAGAGCCCTCTTTGCACCTCTTTGGTCACCAGGAGCCACGTTAGGCGGAGGTCATATCCTTGTATTGGAGATGGAGCACCCAGATAAAGAAGTATTGCATGAGGTCATGTCAAATGTGCTCCAGGACAGCCTGTGTGGGACCTCATAGGAGGAGGTAGCACCAGGGGACTCACCTGGCTCTTGCATCCATATGGCTCCCTCCTGGCTGCTGTGAGAGAAGAACACATCGTTTTGCAGCCTCAGCTCCTAAGCCCACTCAGAGCTCCTCTACGTGGGGACAGAGCTTGGAGAGACCTCCAGTTCACCGTTACTGTAAAGGCATTTTTGCAATCGCTCTTCCTCTCTCTGTCCATGCTGCCTTCCCTCAGGTCCTACGAGACACCCTCCAACTCCTTGTCCAGATGGAGAAGATGAGCACAGAGTGACCCAGCTCCCTAGATGGAAACTAGTTTGCTGCTCCTTTTGAATGGCCTGCGCTGGGCTAGGGAAATGAAGGCAAGGAGATGCTCCTGGTACGCCCGGGGTGCCCCGCAAACAGGGAATGCTACAGCTTGGTTAGCTCTGAGTGAGTCAATGTACTTACTATAAGAGTTCCTTCACCTCTTTGGAGAGAGAGAGGCTGGAGTATCTAAGCCTTATTTCTGTGGAAGGGGACGAGTCTCCCCCGAGGAGCCAGGGGGACAGTTTGCAGTGGCATTAACAGGACCAAAGTAAGCACACATTGTTAAGGACACCTATACCTGCTCAAGACCCATCAGGCTGGCCGGGGCAGCCAGTCTACCCTGGTAAATGGGGGATTGTGGTATTTTGTCTTGAGCAGGCTCCTTGTAAGAGGGCACGAATTGGCATCTAGAGCCTCATTGGCCTTTTAGCCCCTCTCCTCTCAGTGGGGAAGAAGAGGCACCACGTTCTTGCTGATGGAGCATGTCTCATCCCTCTCCCTGTCATCGGAGGGGGAGGCAGCCCTGGCTATGGAGTCCTGCATTTCCCACATCCACTGAGCGTAGGTGGGAAGGGGATCTACTGCGGCAGAACAGATTACTGTAGGTGGCTTTGAAAACTTGAGAGTGCTTCAAGGTTTAAAAAGCTGGTAACGTTTCAGGGTTGGTGCTGGGCACAGAAGGCATTACCAAAGGAGAAAACAAGACATAAGTGCCTATATTGAGAAAAGACGTCAAAAGAAGTCAGATGCCATTTTAATCCTGGCTTGGTAGATATGGGAGGAAAAAATGAGTCCAAGGACTACGATAAACCTGTCAACCCAATGCAAAATCACTGCAGTTCGTTGGCAAAGGTTTGTATCGCAGCATGACTGACGCACATAGTCACGCAGGATAGGCATTCGTTTGGTTCAGGGTGGAGTGGAAAGTAAATGATGTGGGAGAAGAAATTGATAAAAAGCTTTGCTTTGCTCCTGAAGGAACTGCAAAATTTGACCAAAGCCTGACTAGCTTTTGCGGTTAGATTCACAAAATCAGAAGAGGCTGCCCACCACCCTTTTAGGCAATAATCCAGCGCTTAAAGCACTGACCCTGGTCCATTCCCATCTGCCTGTGTCTCTCAAAAGACCAGTTATTCTGTCCTTTTACCTCATTTAGGGTGCACTGGGATCCATGTTCACTGAGCGACTCGGCTGGCTGCTGAGACTCAGGGGTCTAGCCCTACTGCTCCCCTCCAGACAGGTTGGGTTGCCCTCCTGGGATGGCAGGGAGGTGGGGCCTAGCAAAACGTAGATGCCTGAGGGAAACTGGGGTGCACTGGGAATCCCAGATCAGGGGTTTGCTGTTTACCAGCTTACTAGAGAGGCAAATCAGCTCCCCCAGCATGAGTGATGCCTTAGGTGACGCCAAGAAGCTCTTCTGACAACACAGTGGAAGCACGATCAAAACACTTTCCTGAATGGTTGTCTTTTTCCAGGAGAAACGCCCCCTCCTTCCCCTCACAGGTATCCAGTCCGAGCCCTGCTCCTCACCTCCTGCATTATTTCCATAAAGTATCTAGTGCAACCTAATCACCAGCTCCCACTACAGAAATGGGGACAACAGCTCCCTGAGGGCTGAAGGACTAACAAAACTCATCTGCTGATATCTGGACGTTCAGAAGCTCGGTTTGCCTTTGATCTTCAGCTTGTTCAGAGCAGACCATACCAGATTCAAACCATCTCTCCCAAACTCGACCGCTCTGGATCTATGCAAAACTGACCCATTTGTAAGCACAGCCCAGGGCATGCTCCCATACCACAGCTGGTGCACTCAGTCCTCCTACAGTTTAGCACAGAGAGATGCACTACAAAGTGTTTTCAAATCAGTGCTTTTTAATCCACAAATGGTGAAATTCCACATACAAATTAAAAAAAAAAACAACCCTGGTGTTAGGAAAATATCCAACTCGCATAAAGCACAACCCCTCTGACAACGCAAATGTAGAAGTTTGGTGATACGGGTGGAAACGCAATGCACAAGCACACTGCTTGCTTTCATGCACTTTTAAATAAACAAATCTCTGGCTCAGAGACCTGAGTTTTGGCAGCACACACAACACATCTAGGATCTCCAGAGCTTCTACCAAGATACGTTAATGGCAAGCTTGCCTTATATGTAAACCTACATCATTTCTTAACGCTTGCCAAACAGCTGGCAAGATTACACAGAAAATCTGATGGTACCAGATGGCGCCACGCTCAAAGCCAGACCTGTAATCCTGTCTGACAATGTCTAGCTCTCAGTTACTGCAGAGAAAGCCGCAGAAAATGACAATTATGAAGGGCTCCCCCATGGGGGAAAATCCCTTCCTTCAGCCAAGGGAGGGTCTGCTCATGCCCAGGAGCCTGGGGATTCATCACCAGAACACAGGGCACCCCAGACCTTACAGCCATATATTAAGACAAGAGCAAAGAGTGCAAATCTCGGTCTGTCTGCAGAACTCGCTGAAACTACGAGAGGCAGGGCAGGATACGTTGCATGAACACAGAGGTCTATCAGTAACTAATGCGCTGTGGATATAATACCTTCTAGAACTAGAAATCTTCCTTTCTTTTTCCATAAATCAAAATAGGGCCAAAAGGTTGGCACATGAGCACTGAGCTACCCAGAACAAACCAAGGTACGATCCAAAGGGAAGCTAACGTGAAGATATCCCACTGCCAGCCTCAAGGGACCTGCGTGTTCAGTTAATTTCATTAAACTATGCTTACAAATTTGTCACAACTTAAAAAGTACAAAAATACAATTGAATCTCTGAAGGGTATTTTATACCTACCAAGATCATCCAAGCACTCAAGATTAGACAGCTCCTTAGCCTTCAGAAAAATAGTGCACAATGCAGAAATGGAATTGAGAAAATTTTGCCAATATATCTAGTGTATATTCTGAGTCTTCCAGCGTTTCCAGTACAATTACCAAGATGCATGCATCTATCAGCCCAGCTCTGTTATGAATGCTGACAGCACAATGTTAGGGTATTAGCAACGTGTGCAAGATCCAATACTAGCACAAATTTAGTAGTTTAATAATCTGGAGGAGCTATCTTCCTGGAATTTTAATCTCATACCAAGAAAGAAACAAGGCTCTTAGCTATTAATCTACTCACATATTTAGGGCAATCCACCTCTACTGATTAAAAAAGCAAGACAACAAATACATAGCAAGTCTTTCCCTTTTCCTCCAAAGAAGCAGGCTATGCATTCAGGCTGTATTTGCTGGGCAAACCTGTGCACCCATTAAAAAACAAACAGAAAAAAGAAAAAACGTGCACAAGCCCCAGTTCAGCACAGCACAAGCATATGTTCAGGTTTATATCAGCTCTCGTTTACTAGCTTTGCTAAACTGTGAAACACATGCTACTTGTGAAACTCAGAGGAACACGGAGACCAAAATCTGCCTCCTTGCCAATGACTTGCAGTGACGGAGATCTGACATGCCGCCAGCTCTACTGCTGGGGATGTGGCCAGTCCCATCCGAGCTTTAACCCAATCAGCTGGGATATTGCTAACCCGCATTGCTGCAGAGAGACATAGCTCTGCGCTGCCTAACTGCCTGGTTAAGTACTCACGCCCTCCAGGGCTTCGGGTGTCTGCACTGAACTCCGCAATACCGTCACCACATGTCATCGGTACCGGAGCTATCCCCACGTTTATTCCTCTCCCAATAAATGGGAATCGAACGTAATCTGTAAGCTGTGATCTGATAGCTTGGTCAGCAGGAGCCAATAAATGGGAATCGAACGTAATCTGAGTACAGGCTGTAAGCCGTGATCTGATAGCTTGGCCAGCAGGAAGTCTTGTTAATCCATTGGTTCAGGACTTGTTAATACTGAAAACCCTAAAGCTTTCTGGTACCGGGGTGTTAGGTACATCTCCCTTCGTTCTGTACTCATATGGAGCTTGTCATGTCAATGTAAACTAGAAAGAGTGAAGACACACACACACGGCTGTTCTGCCCCTTAGAGAAATCACCTAGAACAGTAGGAACTGTCCTCCTTTCACACTCCCACGGGGAAAATTTGCCATCTCGATCCACCTGCTCTGCTCTACGTAACAGCCAGCACTGCACGCTTAGCGGGACAGAAGTCCTTTGGCTACAGTAAGATGCATGCATATGAATTGAGACTGTGCTGGGAGACTGGCTCATACGCCAGCTGGTTTAAATTCACTTAGTTCAGACTCCCATGAGCATTTCTTGACCTGAATGCTTTTCTCCACAACCTCAATACTTAGGGGTTGGACACCTTTAAAACAACAAGGTCCAATTTCCCCAAAGAGCTGCAAAGTATTCAGGGAGAAGCCCTGCAACCTGCAGACTCCTCAGGCCAGCCTGCCTACGCCTGCTGCGCAGCTGCCCTGGGGGTGGGAAACCCTCATACCACCCAGTGGCTTGCCAACAGTAGATCCAAACACCTCTCTCTTGGGCTTCCTTTTACAGAGATGCTGGGTGGGAGTTGCTGCATGACTTGGATACACCAACAGCTCCTGGTGAGCAGCGTCAATGGCGTTGTCTTCTACACTGCAGATAAAGCCTAAGAGACACTAAAGAAGGTTACAGCTTTTGCTTTAATGGCTGGGCTTGGTTTGGCTGCTCCTTGCACTAAACAGAAGACACAAACCAGTCCCTGCTTTATACCAAAGTACAGGTCCCCCGACCCCTTAAGAGGGGAAAAAAAAAAAAACAAATCAGAGTTTCTCAATACTATTTAGCTGAGGACCACTTATGCAGGAGCTGGGAGATGGAGGAGTCCGATGTTCAGCAGTGACAGGGGCTGTGTGTCACTCATCTCTTTGAAGAGAATCCAACCAGCGGCATGTCCCCAGATTGGAAGCCAGGCCTCCTCTGAACGAGAGGAGCATCTTGCTGCAACGACACCAGCACACCCCAAACAGACTGTCTGTGCTGCTGAGGTCGTGCCATTGCTAGGACTCAATGTCAGCCAGGCCCAGAGTTTGAAGAACATGACCTAGCCAGGTGGCTGTCTCAGTACATGGCCTCATTGTCTCCCACCGCAGTGAAGGGGACACTGTAAGTGCTGTTCTTGCTCCGTTTGCTCTTCTTATTCCAGACCAGCAGTGTGCTGGCACTCTTGCTGTTCATCAGACTTTTCCGGCTGTTCTCCTTGTTGTTCTTCAGCAGCCCACCTCCTGCAGACATGACTGCTGCCTTCTTGTCCATCTGTCAGTAGAGGGAACAGAGACCAGTGTGAGGTCTGACAACAAAGACAGAAGCCACATGAATGGCCTCTGCCACTCATATGGCTCCTTTCTATAGCACTTCTGCCAGTTCCTTGCATTTGAATATTTTCCTGTATAATAGGAACTCCTTACATGGCCAGAGAGCAAAATGCTGGGGTCTGAGAGCCTAAAGATGCAGCTGAAACCACAGAGCAGCACCAAGCCAGGACGAGGACAAGAACTCAAAGTGTTTGGCTTCAGCCATCCAGCGCAATCTCCAGCCACCACCTCTGGTGTTGTGATGCTTCAGCTCCCTGACACGCTAGTACAAGCCATGGGCATGTAGCCTGAGGAACCTCCACACCAGGTAGAACAGGTCTCCTGCAAAGCCTCTCTGCTGCGCTGGCCGTGGGAAGAGGAAGCTCATGCAGTAAAAGGACTATAGCAAGTTTCTCCCCAGAGCTGCAGTTTCCTACCTAAGGATTTTGCCAAGCTTTGCATGCAGAAAGCCCTCATGACTTACGGCTTTCTGCCCCTCCGGGCCCTGGAGTGTTATCACACCGATCTCCACTCCCTCTTCCCCAGTACTCTTCAGCAGCTGCACCACTTCGGCATGCTTGGACCACTTGCAATCCTTGCCATTCACCGAGATGATGTAGTCCCCTTCCTTCAGCCCGGCTTCCTGCAAGGGAAAGGAGAAGGTGCACCTGTTTGAGCTGCAGTGTGAGGCTGCTCGTTTTTTCATCCTAGAGATGTTATATTTGTTTTGCAGTGTGTTTGTGAAGGGGGGATGCTCTACAGACTATGGATCTGTTTTGTAGCTGCCAGCAATGACTGTGCTTGACATCCAAGATGCAATGAAAGCACAGCGCTGTGACAAGAGCAGCCTCACAAAATGCACATCCAACTCCAACCCTCCTACTGTCAGAGGATAAACACAACAGGTTTCCACAAATATCACCACCTGCAAGTCTTAACCCTCAGGAAAACAGAGCAGGCCTAGCAAAGTCCTACAAATACTCCTTCCAGGTCAGGCTTCAACAAAGCTCTTTACATGCTTAAACCAAAGCATGCACTAGCCTGAGGCTGTGGTGGAAAAACTCCCAGGTGGACTTTCATTTCAAATCTAGATACATGCATTTCAGTTCCTCCACATACACTGAGCTCCTGATACAGGCACTGGAGATGTGGCTGGTACCATTACTAAAGCTTAGAGAGACTCGGCATGCTAGCCAGCTGTAATGGAGGTTTAGAAACTTGTATACACATGGACATGCACATTTCAGTATCTTTATCTGGAGTCAAATCCCACCCCAGTTGAGTGCAATGTGCGTTAGTAGCGTGTGGAACACAACTGTGGCGCTGACTTTCTTTAAAAAGCGCTGGTAAATGAAGCTTTTAGTGTCCCCAAAACAGATGTGATCTTGCTACTAAAAAACATATTATGGAGATGCCAGGCTTTGGACTGCAGGACTGAGGATGAGCAGTGCTGAGAGGAGGTGGGGAGACCTTCTGGGCATGCTACCATGGTGCTCCTGCAAGCTTTGGCTGAAAAACAAAGTGCTCCTGACATGTTGGAGAGTCCATAACGTGAGTTTTCAGAGATTATCTCTGTATTAGACTTGCCATGTTGTTCCATCCACTCTCATTTCCCAAAATGGGGGACAAGAGAGCTGGGTGCTTGCCAAAAAAAAGAGGCTTCCAGCAGTCAGAAACTGAGCTAACCTCTGTATTTTCCTTAGTTATCTCCTCAAAATCATAGCTCAACTCTTTTGGAAGAGTCCATCTGCAAGCCTCAGGCAGAGATCCAGCAGATCCACCTAAACAGATTGGTGTCGTTGCCAAGTTGTGCAGCTTAATGTTAATTGCTAAAATTGCCGGGCTGCCCCCAAGGCAACCCCACTTCCAGCATCCTTGGCAGGTGGAAAGCCATGGGCAACAAGCACATGGGCTACTCACAGCGGCACAGCCCCCAGGGATGACACCAGCAATGAGGACAGGAGAGTCTCCTCGAAGCGTGAATCCAAAGCCATTCTCTCCTCTCACCAGGTGGACTCTTCGTACAGGGTACCACTTGTTTTTGGCTGAGAAAACCGAGAGGGGCCCCTAGGGCAAAGCAGAAAAGATGAAAACATCGTTCAGTGCAAGAGCAACTCTCCGAGGACCCTGTGCTGCAATCCTGCAAAACACCCACTGAAAAGAAAAAAATTCCTATCTTTTGCATTTCTTTGACCTGTTTTGAGCCTGCCCAGTGTTTCAGCCTACCTGCATGTCAAAGAAGCAGCAGATTTATGCACGGTAAAGCTAGAGGAGTTAACAGCACTTGTCAGACTCTGGCTATGCATGAAGCAACACAGACTTATGTTGGTTGGAAAGGACCTTTGAAGGTCTCTGGTCTGACCCTCGGCTCAGAGCAGGGCCAACTTAGATCAGGACATCCTCCCACATTACAGAGAAGGAGAAGGAGATCTCATCATCAAGATCAGGGAACCTGGGTCAGTTTAAACATTAGAGTCCTGGACCAAACAACTCAAAGCTCCAGCATACAGAGCTGGCTCCTAAATTCTCCCTTTTAAGGAAATAAAACCTCTTGCCAAAGGAGAGACAGTGCTTGAGGTTTTCGCTGCAGCCTAGTCCTGGGGGACGCACCCAGTCAGGGTGGACTACAGCAGGAGAGGTCACCTCTTTGTGATTAGACCCCCTGCAAAACTCCTCCTTATTCCCACAGGAGCAGGGTCTGGCTGCCTGTCTTCTACTCAGATTATTCAAAAATAGTGATGCTGGTTTCATTCTGCTAGCCCAGCTTCTTCCTTCGCCCCATCACTTGGGACGCCTGCATACAGCGGTGGGGAGAACTGTGCTGAGGAACAGTGACAGCATAGGCAGGCCCCCCAACAGTGTCCAAGGCAGCCACCAAGTTAAGTCCTGTTTCCAGGGACCTGATAAGCCCAAGGAGGGCAGAGACGGTGTTTCCCACTGTTTCTCACAACTCCCGCCCTGCCAGTTTGAGAGCAACTGGCCCAGGTCACGCGGCTAAGATGGACTGGCACTTTCCCAGAGGATAACACTGGCCACAACCTGCTCTGCCCCCTAAAAGCCTCCACTAAACAGTGCCTTCAGTCTTTATTGGGTAAAGCCCACCTGAAATGCTTGTGCCTGCTCCCCCTTATATCCAAGAAGCTTCACATCAAAGCTCATGCTGATTTTCAGAGACTGAATTGGTCTTGTCCCATTTAGACCATGCACAGATATGGACTCCCTCGCCCTTTCGCCTGCAAAAGCTCCTTCCTGTGAGGAGGTGGCTCATCCCCTGCTGGAAGGAAGCCCTAGAGGAAAGCACTGCACCAGGAGGGAAGAATGAGTCACGGTCCTGCTGCTTCTTATAGCAGGATGAAAGGACATGCTTTTGTGCGTGTGCCTGCTGCCTTCTTGGGGGAGCTGGATGAGAGCCTTGCTCCTCAGCTAACTAACCGGCTGCTGCTTCTATGACTAATGAAATAAGAGGAGGAGGCAAGATTTGCTCCCCAGACAGCATTTTGGAGAGGAGGCAGAACCTCGCAAGCTGCGTGGGCTTTCTTGCCCCTTCGGGTGCTCCTAAATGGTGCCTGGAAAGGTTTCCTGCATGACTGGGGCACAAAGCACTTTTATCTCTGACCTTGCCCATGACCACAGACTGACCGCCACCCCCTCCCATATGTGTACATACCAGTCTGTGGAAGAGATCAGTCACCTTCACCTGGGAGAAGTTGGGCGATTTTATCTCCGGTTTCTGATGGGTTTTGGCTAGTATAACAAAGAGAAAGCACACACGCCAGGGTCATGTAATTGCATCATGAGCTAAGTGGCCACTGTTTTGCTTCCTCACTGCGAGCACGATGTGCTCCCAGGCAGAGACAACGCAATCCAGAAGAGCTCAGACCTGCTCGGGGAGCTATCGAACACGAAACCCGGAGCTCCAGCCCACTCATATTAGCAACGCTCCGTTTCAGTAAAGGGAGCCCTGCTCCTTTTACACACGCACAACTCTTTGCCCACAGCTACATATCACTAATTAACTGCAGACTTCATAAAAACCCACAAAATTTACCCACTTTGCATAACCTTTGCAAATCATACCCCTTCGCTGGGGCACTCTCCCCTATGCAGAATACACCCCGAAACCACTTACGGTGAATGTCTGGGGCATCTCCGGTTTCAAAGAAGTCCTCCTCATGGTCGATTTCCGAGTATTTGCTCAGCGAGCGTTTGTGAGCAAAGGAAAGGACCTCCTGGAGAATATCCATCTTCCGCAAGATCTTGCATAAGCTGTGGATTCTCATGGCTTCCTCGTGCTTCATGATGGCTTTCTTCAGATGAGCTTTGCCTGGAAAAAGCACAGAAATCACAGCCTGGCCGCACCAGCGGGAGATCTACACAGCTCTACTGTCGCTCCCTTTTCAATACCAGGCAGCCTTGCTCGCTTGGCTGCCCACGGATTAAAGGAGTTTCAATTGCTGTGTCACTCGACGTGATTCAGGGACAGCCCAGTCACGTTAGCAACCTGCCAGGCTTTCAACGTGCGTTAAATGGAGTAGGTCCCAGCCGTCAGCTTAACGCCTGAATGTAGGGCTAGAAGGGACCTTGAGGGGTGACCTACTTCACTCCCCAGCAGCAGAGATAGGGCTGAGAATACCTGGCAGATGTGCTCTAAAACTGCCAGCGAAGGAGCTGCCATCACCTAGTGAGGGAGGCGGAAACTGCGCTTCACTGCCCTTGCAGCAAGCAAAGTTTCTCCTAACGTTTAACCTATATCTCCTCCACAAATTAACTTCTCTCCATCAGCCTGTGTCCCTGGTGAGCATGAAGGACAATCAGGTCCCGTCCTCTCTGTGACTGCCTTTCAACTTTGGGGTGCTTTGACACTTCTTCTCTCTCTTTTCGAGGCTGAGCAAACCCAGGTCCTTCACCTCTCCTTGCAGGTCCTGCTTTTTGCCTTCTTTGGTGGCCACTCTTGCTTTTCTCCTCTCAACATGCCTTCAACTTGTTTTCACCCCATGAAAGGACAGGGGCTAAAAATGGCAGGAGAGATGTAAGCAACACCAAATTGAGACCGATATATCTGGAGATCAGGAGTGAGGTATACTGATGACCCATGAATAAGTGACCTACGAATACCAATGCAAACATCTCTGTTTTGCAAGATACTGCAACAAAGGTGCCCATAGACAGCGCTAAACTATAAAAAAGCTAAATATACACATAGATAATAAACACACATGTGCCTCTAGCAGTTCCAGTTTCGCGACACACGGTGGCAACATAATCCAGGGAAATGGCCAGGATTTACTCCAGAGAGTAAGTGGAGACCAGTCAGTTACCTAAATACCTCTCCTTTACTCCCCTTAGAAACAGGGGTGAACGTCGGTGTTATGAGTTTCAACCAAGGAAATATTTTGAGGCTAGACACAAAACTGAGAGGAAAAGATTCTCCAAAATAACCACTCGCATTTTCCTGTCAAATGCATGGATGTTATTTTATCAAAGTACCCACAGCCAGCCCCACTCATGGCGGGGGGAAAAGCATAAACACTGGAATGCCTTGGTTTTATTTGGCTTGATAATGACTATCACTGATTCCTGCTATTTCTACTGATGAACAAATGGATAACAAGAGATCAAGGTTGAGACAGGTCACCTGAGAGCTCTCAGATCATTGGCTGTTTTCTAAATCATCATCCACTTGGGACACTGACTCTGCCTCCGTCTCCCTGTGAGACTGTAAATTCACATTTCAACTGTGTTCAGCCCTGTTCAGCCAGCTGATCAGGAAAGATTTGACCAGGAAGTTATGCAGTCTTTTGGTTTCAGTTTAGTAGAGGCGGCGGAATATGCCACATGTCTGACATAAATAATGTTAACAGCGTACGTAACAAGAGAAGGGAAAAAAAAAATCCTTCCAGGGAGATGGTTTTAGTGCTGCAATTTTCTTCCTTTCTTATAAACTGAAAATAGAGCTAACGCTGGTGTCTGCATGTTCAGTTTTTACAAGAAAACGTTGAACAGAGCCGGTTTTCTCCTAGGAGGGCAGGCAGAGCTGGAAGCTCAGCTGATGCAAATCAAGAAACCAGATTACAGCAGCTGAAGGTGTCAGGGTAGTTTATCATAATACTCTGGTTTTGGGGCTCATTTAAGGGTTGCTGAGGCAGTCTCCCCATGCCTGGGTGAGGAAAAGAGGGCATGAATGTCCTCTGCCTCCCACCAGCTAGCAGCGAAAGGAAGCAAGGCAGCTGGGAGGACTCTGCCTGGGCTGGCTACGTGACAAACCCATTCCCGGTAGGGCCTGTTTCATTTCACACTTCTACAGTTAGGGAAAAGAGCACCAAGAGGCAGTTTGTGTAGGAGGCAAACAAGATGACATTCTAGAAGCAGAGAACTAAGCTTCCTATTGTTCTAGCCTCTTTGGGGAGGGTTGTTAAAATTCAACTTTAGCTGAATAAGCAAACGCTCCTATCTTTTCCCTTAAGCTGAAAATCAGCATGGGAGGAAGCTCTCATCTCTCGATCCTTTTGATGTAGCTAAAAAAAGCCACCCCTGGCCTTCATTGTATCTTCTTGTAGTCAAGTCAATCAGCTGAAAGGCAAAGTGAAACTCCTTCCAGGAGCTCCAGGTTCAAACACATTTCTCTGCATTGCGCTGTGGGATGTTACCTGGCTCAGGAAACCTCAGTGCTCAGGGTTTTCAGGGCTACCGTCAAACTCAGCGAGACAGATCAGTACAAGCTTTGTAGGTTGGTTTTTATCCTGGACCATTGAACTGTCCTCCCCTAAACGTTCATGGCTGCAGGGCTGAGGGTGTTTGTCTCATCCTCATCCATGGAATCGCTCTTTCCCAGTAACAGTGCGGCTGAACTGTACCATTAAAGTGAGATCCCCTTTGGAAACAGCTGGAAACTTCTCCCAGGGAGCAGGTAACGGAGTCACAAACTCCTGGAGATAGCTTGGAGCTTGCTTCTGCCTCCCACCACTACATGGGGGTGCTGTATTGCACCCTGGGTCACAGCCTCCCAGCAACATATGTAACTACATTCAGACCGCGGGATCTTTACTGTCGGCAAGGAGTGAGCTAGAAAGGGCTCAGCACAGCTCTGCAATTCCAGGGGGAAGCTGCAGCACTGGCAGTTACAAAAAAAAAAAAAACCCACCCAATGAACAGATTTACTAAGAGATCATCAAGAAATGGAAATGTGGAAAGGGAAAAAAAAAAAAAAATTGCGGGGAGAAAGGACTGTGTGTTCACTACTGCCTTCGAGCCTAGCTGCAATGCCTTCTGCCATCACAGGAGTCACTTAAAGGATCCTCAATATTTTGGGAGTCACACTGAGCTCTCAGGCACCAGTGCTGCCTGCAGGTTAAGGAAGAACATGCTGCATTTGGTCGTAATCAGGAGGAGCTCTGCAATGACAAATGCCGATGGCTTTATTCCACTCCTTCCTCTTTGCTCACCGCACAGTTTTTACTGCTTACATATTATCCAAGGGGGGAAAAAAGTGAAGGCTTGCATTTTTCATGGCTAATCTCATGTTTGAAGCATCAGTGTAAAACAAGAGGAGATGGAAATGAGGGAAATGAGATCCAACACACTCAATTAGATAGAATATTCCTATGACAGAGCATTTAAACACCCTTATAAGGAAAGAGGGAACCGTGACACTTGCTGGTCACTGCCTACCCAGGAAGGCATCTTTTCAAAGAAAGGTAGGTAAAAAGCGTCTTTGCATAGAGAGACCGCTCAAAGGCTCTTCATCACACACTTTCGTGGATACAGTTGCTACAGCAAAGTGCCTAGGTTACAACAGGGCTTCCTCTGTTCACGTATCAGGGTTTATCACACCTTTGAGCTGCAAACTCAGATCTGCCGCCAAGCACACTCACCCAGCTTCCTTCTCTCCTCAGGATCCTGCAGCAGGACGCGGAGAGACGGCCCATCTGGCATGGTGACATGAAACTGGATAAAAGCCTTCTCATGCTCTGGGAGCTCAGCACTGGATGCTGCTGTGTGAAACAAAGGTAGGAACGCGCTTAGAGAAAGCCAGAGCACTGCTCCGCTGCAGGCAGGCAGGGAGTCCCAAGCAGTGAGAGGAGAAGGTGGACAGAGAGCCACATCCACGCTGCTGTGGACATGGCCCCGCTAGCCTCAGTGGTAGCTTTCTCTCAATCAACGGGGGCTTGGCTTTAGCAGCAACAGTCTGCAAAAACCACCAAGAAATAGCTGATGGAGAGGGAAGATCTATTGTATTAAAGGCCACATCATGCTTTGAAGCCAAGTGCAAGATTTGTCTTGTCCACATCACTTCAATATCTGGCTCTTTCACCTCCTTCCCTCCTTTGCTCTGTCTTAGAAGCAGGATTGAAAATAAAAAGCCCTGAATATTCCTACTGAAGGTGAATGACATGGAGCTAAGTCAGGTGACAAACAGAATACAAGAACAGAGCAAAAAGGGCAAGCTGAAGCGTAAACTGGGAGCTAAACCCCGAAACCTGCTCCCTTTTCCTTGTTCACCTGGGACCCCACTTACAGCCACGGAGGCAAAAACGACAGAGGAATAACCCAGCTTGGGGAATGTGACCAGAGGGGTTTGGACAAGCTACAACCAGTGCAATACCAAGGCCTTCTCCTACTCCTTTCTTGCACTACCAGGTATTTGTCACTGAAACCTAGACACCAGGCACCCATCAAATGCCCTCTAACATAGGGTGGGAAGGATCCCCAGATGGAGAAGCCACATCCTCACAGCCTCACCAGTGCAGCTGGATATACCTTGCACAGGCTCTCCAAGCATCAAGCTAGGTTTTGCTCTGTATGTGTGATTTTTACCTAATTATTTCCAAACAAAGCTGTTCCTAATCGTCTTTGGTTCAGAGACACCTCAGGGCTCGTTGCATCCTCCCCTCCTGGGGACAGGATGTGACAACAAGCAATTAAGAGGGCTCTTGGGCTCCAGAGAGTACTGGGAACTTGCTGATCCAAATTGAGGGAGATGCCAAAGCCCAGCCAACCCCCCCGACATTGCCACCCAGCACGCAGTGAACCAGCAGCTCCAGCAGGCTGGCTCTGGATGCCAACTCTCTCTGTGCAAGTACCCACAGGGGATTGAACTTCAGCATAAAGAGTTTATTGACGGTCGCTTACAGGAGCAAGGGATTTGTTATTCTGAACAACGGGACCAGAGCACGCTTGGAGAAGCGGCAGAATTCGCACATGAGATCTGACTAGGCAGCCCTTCCAAAAAAATGAGGGAATGTGCAGATTCGCGCTTCCCCCAGCACGTAACGTTATTGGGACAGGCAAACAGCCACACAGTCTCTGGGGAGAGGTTTGTCCTGTTCCTTCCAACCCAACGCAAACCTGACCCCATCCCGGTCCTCTGCTGCCTCTCCGATTTCTGTCTTCAAGCTCCTTCAGCCTCACATCACCATCTCTGAGCCAGCACCTTTCCACGCTCAGTCCTAAAAGCCTCTCTTGGTTCTGCAACGCCCACACAACCCAAGCCTTGCGACGAGTTTGGGCAGGCTATGGAGTGGAGGCGGGGGGCAGATCTATCCTCTGAGCGAGCTGCTAACAGCTGTGCCCCCAGGAAGGGCTGCCAGCCTCCCTCCCCGTGCTCCCGTTTTAGGCACAGAGCAGCCTGCAGTTGAAGTCGTGACGCTGCTCTTCTCTAGGGATCAGCAACCCGGTCCGACACTCTGCAAAGCACCCAAAATAGTCCCTTTGCGTTCCTGGGATGCTAGGCTTTTCTGAAGCCTTCTGCAGAAGGTTGCATCATGTCAGGATGCCCAAGAAAGTTGGGAATCCTGCAAAGACCTTAGCGAGGGACTGGATGATGAGGCAGGAAAAGAAAGCAGGCAGAGGGAAGGACGTACACGAGACAGATTGCTTTGGCAGTGAATAGAGGGGCTCTGGCTGCAGGCAAGCAAGCAGCTGAGCTAGCATCTCTGTTAGCTCAGTGGTCTTTGAGGCCTGCACTGCTTCCAGGCCCACAGCAAAAGCAGGTGGGCTGGCTGGTGAAAGCTAAGACAGAGGTCTCCAGTACCATTGGCCTGTCCTCAGCTGCCCCCACCACGTGGAGAGGCAACACCACAGGTCACAGAGCATGTCAGATCCTCAGCCTGACACAAACTCACTCACGCAAACGTTGATGACAGCACAGATGAAGATTATGGGTCTCATCCCAAATACCAGCTCCAGCTGAACTCCACAAACACGTGTGCACCCTGCTGTTAGGACTTGGTCCTGCAGCTCCGAGACATCCCCAGGCAGCCAGCCTCAAGGCTGGCAATTCAATTTGGGTAGCCCAGACCAGTTTGTCCAGGGAAATCCTGCTTTTTGCAACCCCTGACTGGCCTGCCAGGTGGACCGGCGCTGCAGGACTGGGGAGGCCAGCTGAGCTGCCTCTGGAGGCCCCCTTGCTAAGCTCCCTGGCACGTGCTTTGTCAGCAGGCAGCGAGCCATGCCTCTCTTGGGTGTTTACTCACCCAGCCCCAAAGTGGAGAGCATGTGACATTCCTGCAGCATCTTTTTGCTGACCTCTTTGGGAAGACTTTGCAAGGACTGTACACATCGGAGAAAGACACAGGGGGAAATCTACCCTGGGCACGCTTTTTTCAGTCTCTCACTGAATTGGCAACAAGACCAACAGCTTAGAGCATCCCAATGGCTCTAAGTCTCTGCGTGGACATCCTTTCAGCTCTTTCTCACAACCTCCCAAACATCAGGCTGCTACTTGAATGAGTTGAGACAGTCTCACAGCACTTGGCTAAATGGCAAGCCATGTCCAAGCTGTAAAGCTGAGAGGCTTAATACTCACCAGGGCAGTCACAGAGCGCAATGGCAGCGAAGTAGTGGGAGAGGGCCTTGAAATGCTCTGACTTGACATGGACCATGGTGGTCCAAGAGAAGGGAACGTAATCCTTCACGTGGGCCTGGGTCATCGTCTGGTGCACCAGCGAGTAGACGTCCTCAACCTGCAGGCACCAAACCACAAGCTGCTGATGCACAGGCTATTTACCACATCTGTCTGGATGCATCGACAACAGAGCTGCCTCCATCTGTGACAGTCCTGCTAGGACTCTCCTAGGAGTTCGTGGTGCGATTCCCCTGCCCAGTGCAAGGGTGAACTGCGCCCCAAGATCTGCTGACCACAGAGGGCGCCTGGGGTGCCTCCTCTAGCTGTCCTGCAGGGTCCTGGTGTCCCCGTTGCACGGGCAGCAGGGAGGCAGCCACATGAGCTCTTCCCACCTTGCACGGTTTGAGCAAAGCCCTGATACCTGAGACCCCAGCGAGGAGGAAGGGGGCCTGGTAACCTACACAGGGCTCTGGCATCTGAGTTTGAACATGCTGCAGCTTAAACTCAGCACATTGGACTACTGTAACAACATTTTGTACTTCCAGGATATTTGAACAATAAAGATCTCTCTGTTCGGCTAATTCGAGAAACAGATTGTCTTAGTCCCTTGGCCAAAGCGACACAGAAAAGCCCTTCTGAAATCCTGCTCCAAAAAAAATAAACTGTGTGAGCTCAGCTGTTTGCCCTGCTCCAGCACAGCCTTAACAGAGATGGTGATGCTCTGACTGCCGTAACAACTCCTGATAGCACACTGAGAAGTTGGTACAGCCCAGAGATCTCAGGAAGCCATCTCAGTACAAATCTTCAGAGATGGGGCCTGGCAGAAAGAGCATCTTGTGAAGCCCAGGTTTATTCTTGACCTGGCCCTGGCACTGTTACAGCTACGTAGAGAAGGCACCATTCCCAGCAGGGCAAGGTGGAACGATTAAGGGCTTATCTCCGATAAGGACATTGCGCTAATTCTATTCATAACTCAAGGTTAGGAAATGCAGTTATGTCAACAGTGTGCACGACTTAGCCCCTAAACTACTGAGGGGATTGTTTCTTTTCTTTATGGCTGGATTAACAACAGGCAGTATTCGCAAACAGCTCACGAAACGCACAGAGGTAAGCAATGCCCAGGAGGTTGTTGCCTCTGCCTGTTCACCCTGCTCTCCAGCTGCTTCATGGTGATCAGAGGGACTGTGACACAACTCGCAGGGCCTCTCTTGCTTGCTCCACCAGTGACAGCCCCACAAAATCCTCTACTCCCTCCCTACAATACCCTCACCTGGCTCTGTGGTGGGACCCAGCAGCAGCACTTACCCTGGCTGCTTCCTGGGCAAGCTGCAGCTGCGTGAGGAAGTCACTCTGGGCTCGGAGCAAGGTCACCTTCTCAAAGACGCACTCCTGCACCTGTGCGATCATCAGCCGCACCAGCATGTTCAGGGAAGAGGAACTCATATCCAGGCTAGGGGCATTGGAGAAGTTTTCCTTCAAGTAGTTAAAGGCACCTACACAACAGAAAAGTTCCAGGTAGTTGTTTTGCTTTTAATTCTGCAGTTGAGTTGCAAACAGGAAGAATCAGCTTTCCTAGGACAAAGATTCTTCAGCCCAATTTCCATTAGCACCACAGGAGGAAGAACAGCCCTAGATCCAGCTCCAGGATGCTTGCGCAGATGTACTGTGCACCTCTTAACTTTCTCACCATAACAGGCAACAACAGTGATCCTCATGCCTGCAGTTTGCTCTTAAAAGCTCTGGATGACAGCAATTCCAGGCTAGTCAGTTTTTCCTATCACCGAACGTGAGTTTTTGCTGGAGTTTAAGGCTATCATCTTCTACCACTTGCTGACATGAAGGAAAAAAAAAAAATCATTCCCTTCACCTCTGCACCAGTCATATTTGCTTGCAGGTTGATCAGCACATCTCTAGAAAGGTACCTGGAAGGCAGACTGTTCCCTTTCCTGCCCTCTCCTTTTTTCCAGCCCTCTGACTGTTTTTTTTCCTCTCCTCTCCAGGCTCTTGGAGGTTGGCCCAGCTGAGACATCACAAGAAAGAGGCCTTTGGGTGGCTTTCAGACCATCACTACTCTTCTTTATACCTGCAGCAGCACCACAGCTTGTGGCCCGTTAAGAAATCCCCCAACCCTCTCCGCACAGCTGCTCCCTGCCTGTTCGCTCCCTTCTTGCATTTGTGCAGCTGATTATTCCTGTTCCAGCGCAGGCGAGCTTGACGCTGCCCCTGCTAGATTTCAGCCTAGCTCAAAACACTCCCTCCTCTCCCTGCTGAAGCAGACGGGGAAGCAGAGGAAGGAGAGCCAACCTACCGGCTGCCTTCTGAAATGCATCGATAGCCCGGTTGACTCCCGGCAGGGAGGCACGATCCTGCCGTGCCCCAATCTGGGTGTGCAGGGCTCCAATGTTGAACAGCACACTCCCCTTCTCGAAGGCCAGCGCCCGCTGTTGGGAAGGGACCCCAGTCAGAGAGTCATACCTGGAGAAGGGAGAAGTTAGCCGCTTCACGTGCAGCCCCCAATACGTTCCCCCAGCCAGCACAGTCATTGCTAAGCGTGCCAAGAAAAAGCTGTTCCTCGAGGAAGATCACCAGCTGCTCCGGAAGAGCCTCTAGTGTTTTCACCATTTTGCATGGACCGTCTGGGACCTGCAGCCACAGTTCCCACAGCAATTCCTTCCCAAGCCCTGCAGGGCACGTGCTTCCACATGCCTCCTTTAACTAATTGCCCAAGGTCGTAAGACAACATTAAGCCACGAGCAAGAAGGAAATCCAGCTCTCCATGTCAGCTGGCCCCTCTATTGCTATTGAGGTCAAAAAAAGGACGCGTTGGATCTTCCAGATGTTACGAGGGAAGAAGACCCCTGCAGACAGCCAGGAGATCTGGTCCTATTTACCCCCTCGGCTCACCCACCTCAGCACCGTTTTGGAACGCATGTGGAAGTGCAAAGGTCAGAAAGGAAAAAGCTTCACGAACCAGTGAAAGAAGACACCCAGGTTTTTACTGGGAGGGAAGAAGCGGTTGTCAAGGAAGTATAGCTGGTTGTAATACTCCATGAGGAGTTCGAGCCCAGCCTCATTCCGGCTCGGGGTCCGCATCGCCTGTGGAGAAGCAGGAGAGAGAGGGTGGACACGTGGGTGGGAAGAGAGGGGGAACAGGAGGAACATGAGATTTACATGCTGTGCTGGCCAGTGGAATTTAACAGCTCTATGAGCTACAGCATTGGCCTAAGTGGGAGAAACTCCACCCAAAACGCTTTGTGCGGAGCCCCTCTCTTTCCAGGTAAAGAATTTCAGCGGGCAGGGGGACAGCATTTGGCCAAGACCCTCAAGACGACCATAGCACATGCAGTCAAGGGGGCAGAATTTCGTTAATGCAGCTTCCCAGCTTTTCAGCATTGCACTTGGTGGTTGCCCAGCAGAGAGAGGCAGCCTCTTGCATGACAGCTGATATGGGTTTACCTACAAAAAAGGCTGGGGAGACACAAAGTTCGAGCCAGGGCACACACCCCGAACCCAGCAAACTAAAAGCAGGTAATGTTCCAGTTGTGCCTTTGTTCTGATGGTAATGCTCACCTAAATCAGCTGGGATATTTTTTAATTACTATTTTTTTTAAGAGAGAACGCGCACAAAGTCAGACAAAATAAACACTAAGGAAGAAATCCATTTGATTTTTGCTCATAATAGAAAAGACTGAGAGAGTGATTTTGATTTGACAGGGGAAGGAGTGACAGAATGCTCTTATTAATTCCTAGTTTCACTCAGGAGTCCTCTTCTTTCAGCCTCCTACTTTCCAGGGCTCCCCTACCACAGCTTGCAGGGCAGGACTGGGACCTTTATATGCCTGAGAACACATTTTCTTCCTGCTCGTGAGGTCAAAGCTTCATGGCAATGTGAAACTGAAAATCCTTATGAGAGCTATTTGGCAGGAGAGGATAAAGTTCACCTTTACCAGAGTGCTCTACATTTTCTCTTCTCTGACTACTATGTTGTGTGTTAGCCGGTCAGAGAGCAGTTATTTAGCCTTGCTGGTGACGGATCATTACTCATAAAAGAGCAGTAACAGATCACATTATACTTTTATTGATGTTCAGTTATAGATTAGTAGGGCATTTAAGGATCCAATTATAAGGAAAGAAAACAATTATTTAGTGTTCTATAATATTTTGTAACCTATAAACTGAAGCCAAGGTGTTCTAATGCAAGCTGCAGGAATCTAGTACCCAAAGACGCGAGGACAAGCATGCAGTTTGGAGGGACCCAGAGAAAACTGCAGCACCTTCAGTGAGACTTTTCAACAAGCCAGAGCAAGACTTTGCAACTCAAGGAACACAGACCTGCCGCAACTCCATAAATTCTTTGATTTCCTTTTCAAACAAGGAACCATCCTCTCCATAGTGCTCGCTGATGAAATCCTGGGTTGGGGAACAAAAGAAAATCCATAGTCACCCTTGAAAATAGACATTCAAGATTTGAAAGGTGACTTCTGACAATTCTGTGCAAGCACTGTGCCAGCTTTCTCAACAAGGTCTGTGGAAACCTGCATCGAGAAAAGCCAGAAAAGCAATCTCCTCCCTGCCAAACCTACACAGGACACCTCCAGCTCACACGCAGGGATGCTGCAGCCCTGCCAGTCATCTCCCCTCCAGCAGCCTGGGGAAAATGCAATCACTTCCCCATTGCTCCATTCTCCAGCCTTGCATTTTCTCCTGTATTTCAAGTCCACCTCCTTGTCCTGAATCTATTTTCACCAGGCCTTAAAAGCATCCAGTCCAAGGAAGAAAATGTTTTGCAGCTGCTGCAGAGTCTCCTCTACAGCTCTCAACTGTGCCCGTGTGCAGAAATATCTCCTAAAGCGTGCATTTGGTTCCCTAGTCAGTCTAAACTACATTGAGCTTGCAAAACCCCAAGCTTACCTTTAGTGGTGCCAACAAGTCCAGCTCCTTTGTCTCCTTCAGGCCCAAAGGAATCATAGGGACACTGATGGACTCACTGGAAGAAGAAACAGATAACCTACGCAGTGAACATTTTGTAAGTGTTGGAAAATCCTTGTGCTCCAGCGACAAAAATGAATCAGCTCCAGGCTCAGAGATAAACCCCAACCCCAGGCAAGCCCAGCAAGCTGTACAGTGTTGACACGATGGGAAGCTGCCACCCACATCAGAGACTAGAGGGGTTCCCAAAACCAATCCTGTGCGGCACCACCTTTTTCTTTTCCGCCTGGTGCCAGCGGCGCCACACACACTATAGGCGAAAACACGCTTTCCCAGGGTTTAAGCCGTTCCTACTGAAGGGCAAAACTAAAGAGGACCAGACTCCACTTAGGAAAAGGAACCCAGATGCGATTCATGCTGATAGATGTGATGTTGGGAACGACAGTGCGAGAAGAACCTTTCGATGGGCAGAAGCGGCAATGCTGCACTGCCCATCACAGGGAAAGGCACACAGAGGTGATAGCCTGAAATCACCAGTCTGTTATCACTTCAGCCTCTGTTTTTATCTCCGTAACAAGTATAATAGCAGCCAAATTGGCTGCAGTGACAAAGCTGTTTTAATTAACAGCTCTTGGGAAACGGGCATGATGTGAGCGCAGGTCATGGATTCATGAACTCCCACGTGCTAATCTGGGCTTCATCACTGATAAGGACTTGCTCGGAGGTATAGTGCTATGTCTGATATCGAAATTTTCTGCATCTATTGAAATCAGTTGTCTAATAATAGCCCTTATCACAGAGCTAGTTCAAAACTTGTAAAACACTGAAGATTATGAGGACCCTGGCAATGCCTAGCTGAGGAGTGGTTTGTATTTGAACACTAAGGTAAAAAAAAAACAAAAACATAAAGGTCATCTGTGGAGCAAAGCAGCATTGCATGGCTGTAGGATGACAGCCAGGAAGGTCCACCCTTTGGGGGTTTTAGCTGCTATTTTCATTCTTTGTTGCCAAGAAGTGAAGTGGCCCATACCAGCTGCAGGGCCTCGAGCATGCAGAAAATTACAGCTCTTTTACTCTGCAGCAGGAGCAAAGAACTTATTCCAAACTGAACACAGAGACCTGCTGGATCCAGACTCTTTGCCCTGAAACCCAAACACCTATAGCTTGGCTCCTGTATACCGAGAAGGGAACCTGCGGAGCTACCTGCAGCTCATGCCAGTCTCTGGAGCGAAGACACGAATGGTTTCCCCAACACCTGGTTATTCCTCAGCAATGTTCCTAACCCTCCGCATTGAGCCATGTAACCAACTCACCTGGTTATTCCTCAGCAATGTTCCTAACCCTCCGCATTGAGCCGTGTAACCAACTCACTTGGCCTCCCGGGGGAGAAGAGACAAGAAGGGCTTAGCACAGCATGAGATGGGAGAAGGGTCAGGAGGGATCAGGCCCTCGCCAGCCTGACTTTACACAACAGCAGGTTACCTAAACCCTTCTCGTTAGCTCCAGAAACCACTGATAAGCTGTTAGCACATCACAGTCCAGGGAGGAGAGGAGGCAAAAAAAGTTGCAAAAATGGGGCAGTGGGAAAATCCTCCGCATTTTGGCCTGTTTGTCCTCATTCGATCACTGAACAAACAGCCTCCCGAGAGCTATAATTAGTATGAAAAAGCAGTTATCACTCATTCTCTAATGAGATTTCAGCTTGAATTGAGTACCACAGAGCAAACAAAGGGGGTTTTGTTTGGTCTGGATAGGGTTTTGGGGTTATTGCTGTTGCTTTCCTTTTAAACCACAACAAACATGAGGTGGGTTACAAAGGCCAAGCATCCCTGCTGGGAAACAGCTTGGGGAAGAAGTCCGCGTCACGGGAGGATTCAGCCCTACAACTTAACTTCCTCAACCTATTGCTGGGAAGAAGGAAAACGTCCAGAATTACATCCAGAGATTGCAGTAGACCCTCTGGGCACAGTGAATGCTCAAGGGTGACAGACAACGGGGTTCCCTCTGCTTTCTCCCTGTAGCAAAGCCAGTCCTTGCTCCCCTGCGTCCCTCGTACATCAGTCCTACACCCAGACTGCCTTGTTCTGCATTTAGCAGCACTGCAGAAAACTGCAGGATGGAGTAAGTAAGGCTTTCCCAGTCTTTCCACACTGTGACAACTCTCCCTCCCCCTGGCAGCACAGCAGTCCTTCCCTGCGGAGGACCACGTTTTGGGACAAGATGCATCTCCTACGTACATCTACCTGCCATGCAGCTGTCTTAGGAAGGGAAGGAGCGTTTGCAGCTCCCACGTTGCTGCAGTGTCCCTGGTCTTTTTTGCCTCGGGGATCTCTTCCTTTCTCACCTAGATAAACAGCTCTGTTGAGCCGTCCCAGCACGTTAGCTTGCTGCTGGCTAGCGTGGTAGGATTACCGCTCCGGTGAGTCAAGCAGATGAGGTCGCTGGGTAAGCGTTTCAAAGAAACAACGCACTTCAATTAATAAAAGGTCTAACCTCGGAAAGAGAGAAAAACGTAATACCCTCTATGGGAAAATAAAAACGAGTGAGTAATCCATTTCAGGAGCAACCAGAACAGGAGGTCAGGCACCTAAGCAGCCATGCTTTTAATTGCTTCTGTTAAATACCCAATTTCACCTACTGGAAAAATCATGCTCTGGAGAGCTTATCACTCACATGGTACCCCCTGTCTCAAAGACGGTTATTTTTGACCTGTTGCTCCAGGCTTTGGGATATCAGAGCCCAGAGAATGTACCATCCCTCCCAAAACATGGCCTAAGTATCCACTAGCAAAACCAGCCAGGGTCAGTCTCCTTGCAGTTTTAGAGATGAAGCAGTGGAGGTTTCCAGGAGAAAAGAGCGAATCCTTTCCGCACATGGCCTGTGCCCCATCCCTCTCCAGCCACCAATGCTTGTTCCCTGCTAGACGGTCAAACCGTGGTCAGATCAGGGAGGCAGAGGAACAGGCGCAAGGGAAGCAACGAGGAGTAGGAGCAAGGTTGTGCTATTCCCAGACCCTGTCCTGATCCCTACTCTCCTGGTAGGGGCTGCCCACTGTTTATCCCTGGTACCAGGACCCTTAGCAAGCATGCAGGGACCACATCCTCCCCTTGCCAGAGTCCCAGCCTCCAATTCCAAAAGAACACCTGCAAGGCAAACATCTCTCCATAGTGTAGAAAATCGCTATGATTTTTCCCAGCGGATGCAGATCCGCTGCGGCCCAAACACCTAGCCTGACATCGGAGCTGATGTGACACCAGCCCTGCGATGCCTAGAGGGGAGAAGAGAAATATCCTAGCGTGCTAGGTGGAAAGGAAAAGAAGAAAGAAATCCCAACCAAACAAACCACTTTTCCCACGCGAAAGTAACCTCCCTGGCCTGCTTGGCAGCTCTACGTACCTGTCATTCTGGTACACGTCCATGCAGCTGTTCAGCTCTTCCAGCTCCTCTTTCAGTAACTGTAGGTTGGAGTTCACGTAGCTAAGCTCCAAGGCAACTGTTTCTTTTACTTTGTGGTTACTGGTGGCTCTGGAAAACAATAACATGTAGATCAAAACTCCCCCATAAAATCCAGGCCACGTTGATAAACAGCAATTACCTTATCTGACCACAGGATGCCATTCCCTCTTCTGTGTCACGTGCAGCATCTGTCCAAACCTTCCTGGAGGGCCATGGTTTCCCTATCGGTTGGGAAGTGCTTTCTGCCACCCTGATAATCTCGCTCACTCTGAGCAGCTGAGGGCTTGGCATGGCTCAAGGGTAGAAGGAGAAGCCCCAGAGGATGGCTTTTGTTTGCTCTTACAATCTGTTTCTTTCTCCACGTGTCCCCAAACAAGAAAGCGAGACAACCTCCACCAGGCTCTGGGGAACTCTTCTGCTACAGGCAGCTCCCAAACTACCCTCAAGAGGGGATGCTCTTGCGACCTCAAATTTTGTTGGACTTGTTTTGAAGGCAAAGACTGGAAAGGACAGGCAATTAATCCCTGATGGGCTTCAGAGTCTGCCCCAGGGACTTATGGCTCTCACGGGCAGCAGATGCACAGAGGACGCTAGAGCCTGCAGGAAACGCAATAGTTGCTTTTCCTTCCGTCACAAAAGCAACGCCTTGTCACCGAGGCACAAAGCCAGGTTTGAACACGAGAACACAGATGCTCAAGGACCAGGGAAGTCAGAGAATTAGGGAAGAACAGAGAAACATCTTTACTGCTAATTAAAATGCATGGCAAATGCTGCAACCCCAGCTGAATCCACAAGCCCTCAGATGCTTGCTAGCAAAGACATAAGAAGATGCAACCCCTGTGCCAGACTCAGCCAGGGATGGGGAGGAGGAGCAGGCCCAAAAGGTTCACAGTTTCTATGTGCTTCCTCCCCATCTTCCCAACTATCCCTAATGGTGGGGCTCAACAACCAGGAGGTTTAGTCTGCAGGAGCAGTCAAAAATTCAGTCACGCTATCAAAGAGGCCATTGCAGAATGCCAGCTCAGAAGGCCGGAGATCGAGCAACAAGCATCCAGACCTCTGAAGGTCCCACATGCCAATGGCTCAGCTATTTCCACCTAACTTTTCATGCAGCTGCGAAAAACTTAAGTTGTCTTCTGGGTGCCCATTCCAGTATTTCAGTTTGGCCATTTACAGAGTTGGGCTAGAACTGAAACCAAGGGGAACAGAGGCTGGGAGCAGATGAGCGGTATTGAGCGCGAGAGCGTGGATGTGGAGGGAGGGAAATCAAATCCCAGTGTGTGGGTGGGGGGGGTTGTTTTGTTTTGACATGTTTTCTACCTTGTTCACCCTGTGCCATGGAGGCTGAGGTTTTGCACAGCTCATAACAGGATTACTTCCCGCTCGGATTAATCTGACACTTCTCCTCCAGAACAATTGATAGTGCCTGCGCTAAACCCCCCCTCACTCTGTTCCTCCCTCTGTGCTCCCAACCGCAACCACTGCCAGCAGGGGTTAGGATATTTGATTATCAACACTCATCTTCCCCAAATAAGAGCGGTGCTTTAGGGTTAGGCCTCAACGCAAGCAGGAAAAGGATCTTTTTGGGTGCAAATAACACCTTCTGCAAGACAGGTTTGCTGTGCTCACCCATGAGTAGCACCAGGCTCTGCCCTGCCCTGCCCTCCCCTCTATTGCATGTCAAGGGATATAAACACCAAGGATTGATTTCAGCTGCACTGAGTTGCCTGCTCCAGCAAGACAAACTTCCAGGCTGATTATACCCTTCTTATCTGCTCTGGAAAAAAAAAAAAAAAGAGGCAGGGAGAGATAACCCAGTGGCAGCAGAAAGCTGACAGCGTGCAATTGTCTGCTGAAATGTGCTCTAGCTGCTTGCATTAAATCATGCTGGGCCCCAGCGGAGTGCTGTAAAAACAACACACACATGAGCTTTACTGGGCCAGGGTAATTCTCTCCTCTGGCCTTTGGGGACCCAGTAATGAACACATTACCATCAACTTGTTCTTTATTGATAGCATCCTTCAGTGGCCTTGCCCTGACCTGGCTCAGGACACTATATGGGGCTGTACCATTGTTCTTTTAAAACTCTGGCCCATTAGTATCTCTCTCTCCCTGACCCTCCTTTACTGGGATTTCCAAAAGATAGATATACTTTTTTTTTTTCCCCTCCTCTTTTAAACAAAGAAAACCAAATCAGAACAGGTCCAAAGAGCTCCACAGTCACTTCCACTTAAACATCCTTCAGCATTTCTGCAATCTCCTGTAAGGTATCAGCACAGCAGCCACTCCCTCTTATCATACAGCAGTATTTAGTCGCTGTTTCTGTCCTTCACATATTGCAATTCCCCTAGGACGCAGGTGTATCTCTGCTTTCATTACAGTTTGGTTTCAATAGTGTTGAATATAATTTCTCCTTCTTGCTCATAGCTGACAATATTTTTTTTTTTTAATGTTAACAAAAGTTGCATTTTCTATGTGCTGATTTGCAGCCCACTGATACCAGGGTTACATCTATCCACAGACATTATGTATTTCTCATTAGTGCTTTCATCCCCTAATTTGAAGCAGAAGGGAGTCTTCAAGCCCGAGAAGCCTGATTTTGCTCTGTAGGATTTTGCATGCACATGTGATCTTTTTCCAGGACAGCTTTACTTGTTATCCAGTTCAGACAGTGACTGTTTTTAAGCCTGGACTTTGACTTCAGAGTCCGTTTTGCTTCTGGACATTTTTCCTTGCCCTCTACTAAGGGCCGCTTGCAGGAATCAAGAACACAGTACCTTTCAAGGAGGTAATTTAGGGAGCAGGCATTGCTTATCAACGGTGAAGTTTGCTTAGAGCAAATCTGCACTTCTGTAGGCTCACGCTGCCTGCATGGGGCACACACCGATCTCCTTATGAGCGTGCAGAGTCCACACATCTTAATCAACCTCTTTGGTGAGGTTATCAAAGATTTGCTTAGCTAACTCTGAACATTTATTTATTAAAGAAATTGGTATACTGGCAACACCTTTATCTCCCCAATTACTTAGCTGAGCCATAGTATTTGAACAAGAATGGAAAGGGTTTCCGCTGCCTCTGCCCATTTATTTATCTAGCACACAAAAGCCCTTACACTGTAGGGCAAATGCCACGTGCATTTTTCCAACACACCGTCCATTGCAACCTCTTCAGGAAAGGGGACTGATATGCTGAACAGAACTGTTCAGAAGTGGGGTTTTTCTTTTTACATTTAAAAAAAAAATTGAGAAATTGGAAATGGAGGCAAAGAAACCAGCATGTTCAGCTGCAAACTCTGCTCCAAGCTGAGCAAATCAGTTTTCTTCTGTTTGCATTTAATACTTGCCCAGGTAGACTGAAAGGAAATTTCAGTGCAACCCAAGCCTAGAATTTTTGAGCAACAACCCTTTAATTCCCCCGGGCATATACCTTTAATTTCAGGGACAAATTTGATTCCTCCCCACGTTTCCCAGTTTCACAAGCTCCGAAATGCGGAGCGTCCAGAAACCCACATACTACTCAGCCACAGAGTCAACTTGTGGGACAAAGAGAAGCTGCTGCGACCAAAAGAGACATTCAAACTGCTGATCCAACAAAAAAAAAAGTGTCCCATCAGTACATTTTGCCTCTGCCCTGCTAAGGGTGTTCCCTTTCCTCCTTAGACAAGGATTTAAGATGGTCCATGTTTTGCATTATTCTTAGCTCCCCTTTGCTCTGAGAGGGAGGAAGGAGAGCTGCTCACTGCCCACATCCCAAATACTCTATGGAAAGCAGCTAGCACGGCACAGCTCTGATTCACACTGTTTACACCAAAACCATAACCAGGCACACTCCTGCTGAGGCAGCACATCTCCAGAAAAAAAAAAAAAAGGGGGGGGGGGTTAAAAAAGTGGAGTTGCGTGGAGGGGCACACATCATGACTTTGAGGCCTTTTTAATTAGATGAGGCATGGCAGTTTTACGGTCCACAACACCCAGTCCAACTAAAGCAGCAGCGAAGCAGCTGTATGGCCCCAGAGCACAGCTTCTGCATGTGAACAAGGCTGGTGCCTCAACTTCCCCAGGATTAGAGCTCTTCAGGGCACAGCCACCGTCTTCATTTGCCTGCAAAATGAGGTCTCTTGCTATAGTTCACCAATACTGCTATAACTTCACTTTTTCTGGTGCAACAGGCACTTATCAGTAACACTAAACCATTCAAACTCCAAAAATGGGGAGTCAATCTCATTTTATCAGGAAGGAGAAACACCAAACTGGCGTAACGTACGCAGAGAAGAGAGCCTGTTCATAAGCAATCTTAGAGCAGCCTTATGATACATTATCTTATATTAAGATAGACCTGCCCTTTGTGCACATGTGGGCAGATCTGCTCAGATATCCTATAAGGACATGAGACACACAAGAGCTACGAGAAAATCCTTAGGCAACTACTGTGTCTTTGCTGCAAGAGCCTCGCACTTGCATCATGTTTCTATCCTGACTACTCTGCAGGGGAAGGCATTTCCAGTTGGCTTTACCTGTGCTGGACCAGCTGCAATCTGCAAGCCATTCAAACATTTCAGCTTTTGCACGACCCCACACATGCATCCTCCTTACAGAGGGGGAGAGCAGCTGGCTCCCACTGGGCTAAAGCTGTGCGAAAAGACATATCTGAGTTTTCGGACAGATTCTGCCCTGGTGGAAGTACTGGGACAATTTTTACCAAACTGGAATTTGATCAAAGCTGAATTTGGGGGTATGACACAGCACCTACACATTCAGAGCTCAGTCTCAATTCAACCCTTGTTGCCACTATTTCATCCACTCACAGACTGGATTGTAATAGGCTTCCAGGAAATTAAAATAGCAGTAGCTATTTTAATTTCAATAGCAGGGTAAAGATGCATAACATCAGCATTGCACTCAAAATACAAGCGTGTCCAGGAAAGCTGCTGCAAAGTCAAGGAAAAACTGAGCAAACCCAGAGCAGGGCACAGCCACAGGAGTGACAGCATCCATCACTTCCCAGATACTGAGATAAAGGAGTGTTTTAGGTAACTTGGATAAGTTCTTCCTAAAGCCTGTGGGACAGGAGACAGGAGCAAAACAGCTGAGCAAATCGGAAGAAAGGAGATCAGGCCTGCCAAAGAAAGCAGAGATAAGTCTGTCTGTAGTGACACTGTGGCAGAGGACGGCACTTTGAAGACATAAGAGAGTTATCGGGTAGAAAGCAGCTGTTTCTATGCAGCTTGGGGTCTGACAGCCTGCCTTGACGAGGCAGGAGATGAACTTGTGTCTCAAAAAAAAGGAAAAGCAATAAACCAGAAATATTCTCTCCCAGAACAAGCAGTCTGTATTAAAATATTAGGTACTGTCTGGACAAGTGATGGCTCACAGCACAGTATGTCACAATAATAAACTGATTAAAAGAGTTTTGTGTTCCCCTTCCCCTGTACCATGGGACCATGTTTCCCCCCAGGGCTGGACTGATGCTCTAGAGACCCAGACTCACCTGAAGAGGTTCTCCGCCCCCGCTCGCATCCTCATCTCCTTGTTGATCTGCTGGTTAATTCGTGCACGGCGGTGTTGCAGCTTGCTGCGCTGGGTCTGTGCAAAGGGATCGCAGCCCTGCTGAGAAAGAGCATCACGGTCTCTCTACGGCATAACAGCAGCTTTCCTCGTCCCACTGGCCTGGGGGCCTGCCCGGGCCAGCATCACCCCCAAGCAGCTAACACGCATGCATACGCAGATGCTTTGGGCTTCTTTCCATGGAGACAGATCTTCCTTGCCATCTCCCATAATAACCAAGACACTGCCATTAAGGGATAAAAAGTTCAGTGGTGTCGAGGGCTGCCGGCTTGCAACACAACCCACCCATACCCATTTCCAAGCTGTGGCTGGGAGCAGCAGCAAGCTTGAATTGCAGCAGGAGACCATCAGGTTTGGCACAAGGAAGCAACATGCGCTGTTTAAGCCTGGGGACAGACCGCTGCATGGCAGCCAGGCACCGTCCCTGTAGGGGTTTAGATGCACGCTGCCCAGGAGCATGTGGGCAAGACCATTGCTACAGCTGGGGACAGAGGAACGTCCTCTCCACCCTGACTTCCTCTGAAGATGTGCCACCCCGCAGCACTAGACCAAACCCACTCAGACCGCCATGCTCAAGAGTGACGGCAGGGCCATATTTCAGATGTCCTGTTGCTTTACACATTTGCGTGGCCCTGGAGAGCTGCATACCGAGGGCCTTCGGAGTCCAGCACCCCAGGAAGCAGCACAGCTTCTGAGAAAGTCTTATCACCTAACATCACCTGCTGCTTCCACCTGCTACTCGAAACAGCTTCCCAAATACAATAGTCAAGCAACACAGGAACTAGACACCTCCTTTCCAGTGTCTTACCATCTGGACACGACACAAAAGAGTTAAGACAGCCATCTCGAGGGCATGCTGCAGATGAGCTCCGCAAAACCCTAGAGCTTGGAAATAGATGCGATCCTGCCGTTTACGAGCACTTGCAACTCCTGCCGGCTATAGAGGAACAGAGTCTGGGCAGCAAGTCAAGAGTTCATGGGATGGAGAAGCGAGTCGCACAAAGCAGTAAATTAATTCCATCCCTGCCTCATTTGCTTCGGCTCAGACTTTCTGCAGACAGGGAAGTACGTTTAATCTCTAACTTCAGGAAATAACAGATGGTAATACCCTTCTGTCTTGCAAGGGCAAAAGGTTACTGTGGGAAGCTCCAAGCAGAAATGCTGCTGAGAAAAGGGTCTCCAAAACCAGTGCCACAATAGCTCTACCCAAGCAGAGACGATTTCTATTGTGCGAGGAACAGTTCAGACAGATGAAACGGGGCCCTAAGAGCTCCCTGGATAAAAAGCCTGTTTGGAAGGGCACAAGGTTGGGCAGTTCAGGAGGATGGAGACCTCAGAGCCTGCTTTTCTCACACCAGTGCAAAGCGCATGCTTTTGATGCTGGCAGCATTGCTGAGATCAGTACGAGGATGCAAAGCGCCTTGCACGAAGCATTGAGCAACACAGCAGCCTCACTCTGACCCGCTGCAGGAGCCACCTCTAACTGCAGGCAGATCCCTCCAAGGCAGTATTAAGACTCACTGTAACACTAACACTGAAGAAAATACTCAAAGCTACTATGCCAACCTCCTATTTCTCTTAGAGAACCTCAATCCTCAGATTGCTCTGCACTGATAGTCTACTGCTTCACCTCCATCATCACTGATGGGGAACCCTTTGCCTTCGCATCAAGGGATTTTTGCCACCCAAAAGACTCTGCAGAGCTGCAGGGTGCTGGCAGACTGCTGTTTCCAGCAGTGCACGCTATTGCCCCATCCAAAACTAATTTCTCAGCTATTGCCCCATCCAAAACTAATTTCTCAGCTAACTTCATTGACAGAGAAGCCCTCAGTGTGCTTCACCAGGTCCCTTTTCCCTACCAAGCTCAAAGGAAGTTCTGCTTGGAAAATCCAGCAGGATTGCAACAGTCTCAAATCCAACAGCTTGGGCAACACCTAGTCACATCTTTAGGAATACCGAAGGTCTCAGGCCTTCCCAGTGAGATTCTAGGAAGGACAAATAGTTTGTTAGAAACAGTTCAAGTGATTTTTCTGGAATGCTAAAGAGGTAGGAAGAGTAAAAAAAGCCTTTCCCCCACTCAAACACATCCTAGGATAACAGATCTTTTCATTTAAGTGTCAGACTTGACCTCATAATTGGTACATTAGAGACTGAGGAATCGAAGACACCCCATCTGGTCTGTAAACCTACAGGCTTAGCGTTTTGCAGTAAGCCATGTATTTGTTGCAATTACTGGAGGCTGAAGGAACAAGCTGGAAGCACGAGACCCCGATTATTCTAGAAGAGCAATTAAATGGGACATTAAGGATAACACCCCAACTGGTGCATGAATCTATTCCAAGATAGTCAGAGGAGCAAACACCCTCACCTGAAAGGTCCAACTTCTAGACACACTACGGGGAAACCCACCCATCTCCTGCACACATCCCTTCCCCAGGGCGAAATTCAAGAAGTTGAGAGAAAATGAAAACAAGAAGAGGAATCGCACACCACACAGCCCAATGATGGATCGCGCCAGGTTTTCTCAAAGGAAAACAAGTTGGGTCATAGCTAAGTAGTAACAGCACTTGCAAGGAACAGGCAGGCACTACTCAAATCTAAACACCAAGCAGCGAAGCAGACCGCACAAGCCTCTCTTGGCAACAGTATTCAAGGGATTCTGCAAAGAATGAAGTACAGCTCATTCGAGGAGGCACGGAGGGCTAATGACTTGGTTGAGAAGGAAACTCAGAATTCGGGGATGCCCAAAAATAAGAGGGTGTCAGAGAATGGTTTTGTTCATTCAACTACTGCTTCTAACCACCGGGCCTGCAACTAAAGCAAAACCGAGGTGCAAATCTCCAAAGCACCAGAGGCAAGACAAGAACAGGGTGGGAAGGCTGTAATACAGGCAGCAAAAGCACCAGAGCTCAAAATTAACCTGGTCATGCATACCGAGAAGGACAAAACTGTGGCTGGAAAGGAGCTGTTCATACAGACATACTCCAAGGCATCTTGGGAGTATTTCTTTTAGCGTTTTAGGGCCGATTGCAAACATCGCCTTTAACCCTGTTTGCCCATACATCACACGACATTAACCTACATACAGGAAATTACAGCTTAAAAGGAGGGAAAAGTAGTAGTACAGAAAAGGCTGTGCTTATTAGAGTTTTAACAACCTGTCACGTTTACAGATAACAGCTGCTTGGTGCTTGTCAGCTCCAGAGGCACGCAAACCAAACAGGTTTCTGCAAACGTATCCAAGTACATGCAAGTGAACAGGATCCAAACCCCCTCGCTCCCCAGATCCTGTAAGTCTCTGGGAGCCATAAAAATCAGTCCAGAGCAGGACGAGCTCAACAGCAGTTTCTCAACCTGTTAGAGGAAAGCTGGCACTGTCCGTCTGGCAGCACTGCTGGAAAGAGAGAAGAGCCAGCTGTGCTCCTGCAGCTCCAGAGTCCACCTGGAGAAGCAGAGACCTTGTGCTGAGCTTCGAGAAGACAAGGGAAAAACCTGTTACTAGGTCAAGCTAAACTCCAGATTTGTACTAACAGCCACCGTCAGAAAATCCTTTGCACAAAGGGGAAACAAAATACATGCGGCTCTGAAGAAGTGACCTAAAAGCCTGGTTCCCTGCAGCATTCTCCCACGCACCGCAATAACTCCAGTTCCCTGCCTTCAATCCCAGCGGCAGCTCCCCCACACCAGCAGCATACAGAAATGCTTTGGTCAGCCCAAAGCCTGGGATGAGGCACAAGGGCTGAGATCCTGCCCTCCCTTGGCCTGTGTGGGAGGGAGGCGGAGAGCATCTTTGCTCAGTCTCGAGTTCTTATGCCTCTTACAGGAACTTTCATCATCTTTGAGACCTCTCTACCTCTTGTAAACGTTTGGTTGAAATGAGAGGATTTTAAGATTTATTGAGGAAGAGAAGCAAAAAATACATGAGCGCATGGGCAGCGGATCCAAGGAATTGCAAAGGAGGAACGATGGAGGAGAAAGAGGCACATGTAGAAGGACAACCCAAAACCACGCAGAAGGGCCAAGCACTAGGCAGTAGATAAGATATTCTTGGAGGCAAGACAAGAGTACAGGAGGACAGCTATGGCAGAAATTAGACGCAGCGTAGCATGAAAAGACACTAGGATGGCTCTGCAAGACATGCAAAGCAAGCATTAAAATCTCTTCACTACCAACAATTAAGAGGCATAATCAACTTGGCAATTCCTCACTATTCCTACACTCAGCTTGAGACAGCACCAAGGAGGGAGGCAAAACTCAAGTCACCACAGTGTCAAACCTCTAGAAGAGGAAGCTGATCAAGCAGACCGTTGCTCAAGTATCCAAACACAGAAACACTGACAATCTTAAACTACTTTGGCTTTCCACACATGTACAAAGGAGCTGCTTTCCAGGAATGCTTGCAAGCTGGGAAGCAGATGCTCTGACAACATTAGGATGTCATGGCATGCAGATTTGCCCAGACTTCTCCTCGCGAGAGGCAAACTAAGCCGTTTGCACAGCTGCAAGGTTTTTTTTTCCAGCTGAACGCTGAATGTCTTTTCAATCAGATTTAATGAGGTAGTTATCAGTTCCCATCCAGGCTCTTAAGCCAACAGTAGAAAGGTACTGGAAAGTCAGGTATTAGAGCACCTGTTGTAATACCAAAGCCTTGAAAGGATGTCAAGTCAGGATCTTGAGGCTTGCTGCCCTCAGGGACTTCACTTGATCTCCCCAAACCTTGCTTCCTTCACCCATTGTGAAGTTGGGTAACTGCAATCACCCATGATATTGCAGCACATAAGAGGCTCTGCCATCTATCCTGAAGCATCGCTACCAGCCAGCACGTGCTGACATAAGCATCCCGCCAAGGCCACCACAGCAAACAGCCACGTTTAGTTTCCAGCTGCCCCTGGAGACTTTCACAAATGAAACTTTTCCACAAATATTGAAGTAATAAGGAAAATCAGCACCAAAATGAGAAGCCTAGCCCAGGCAAGCTTACATATAGGAGAGAAAGGAAACGCCACCACAAGCGAAGACCACCTTTAGATTGAAAGGTG